CCCCAAAACCCCAAAACCCCTCGTGTCTTTGAAAGTTAAAATTTCTAATGTAAATTATCAATAATTCAAGCAAAAGCTTTACTGAATCTTTTACTTAGCATATTTGGGGATTTAGAGATATAATTCCCATCTAAATTTTATAATATTTGTGGTCTATTTTGTCTTATCAAAGGCGTATTACTAATTACAAATGGATAGGCGAAGCATTACTGCTATGATTTATTTAATGATGATAGCACTATCTACTTCTTATCAGTTGCAGCTGATAAATAATTTTTATAGATCTCATCGCTAGGTGTTTTTGGCTTAAACCCTATTCTAGTAAGGGATCCTCTTAGTACCTCGTTATTCTAAATTGATTCTTCTTGAATAGTTGTTTTGTTCATATTTTCTTTAATCATTTCTCTAATGTTGTTTAACTTGACTTCTTCATGTTGAATTATTTTTACATTACCCACACTGTATAATGACTTATTAGTCTAGCCTGATGAGTTGAATACCTTTTACCTGTTTGAAACAGCCTCAGTAAACTGTCTTGAAATCTCAGCAAACAGTCCACCAACTTTTCTTACTGGCAATTCTGCTGTCCTAATTTTATTTACGTTTTAAGATATATTAGATTGCTTCCTAATTTTAAATTGCAAGTTATCTGAATGATGCTTTGCTTGGCTTTTTGGGCTTTTAATTGGAGACTTATTTTAGATCTATATATCAGCAATTGGATTCATCATTCTATTATAAAAGCTTAACTCTGCTATGTTATCTCCTTTCGAGAAATTACTTAGGTCAAATGAATGTCTTTTCGAGCTGCACTTTCGTTACATCTAAGAACTATTTAATTGTTTCTTATGATTGGTATCACCAGCAATCCCCGAATATTAATTACTCAATGAAGATTTTGATTGAATTTTATTAGCTTCAAAGTCTGGTGATTGTACTTATCTGACATTTCTTTATTTTTGACTTGGCAGAGTATGATTATTGTTAGTTATGACATTATTAAGCTTGTTATTTAAACTAAAGTCTTCGGAATTTATTTTTTATGGTCTTCCTACCTTCTCAAATCTACTCTCTTGGTAATCAGAATACTTATGATTTCCATAGTATAAGTTTGTGTAGTTAATCATTTTACTGTTTTCGAATTCGCTAGATGTTATATTTGAAACTCTGCTCTAAACTAAATTTGAGGCCTATAGCAGACTTTTGACTTATTCAGCTTTTTTATCAATAATTTATTTCTTGGCCTTAGGTGTAAAATCATATATCGGCATTTGCTATTATTTCGGACCATCTGAGCTCATGATTGTAGGTTCACCTTTATCTTGATTTAAGTTTCCGCTCAAACTTTTGTAATCATTCGCAGAGCTACTAAATTGCCCAATTATATGCTATTTCTTAACATCCCTACTATTTGCACTCTGTCCTCCACATATCTTCATTATCTCTTGCTTTAATTTTTAGTCTAGAGGAATTATGTAATGGCCTCTTAATTCCATTTTTGAATCTTAGAGGTAACCTTTATTTGGAGATATTATATATTTCCCCCCACTATGATTCTTTATAATTATTCTCCTACCTTAGTTGAGATAATCATATAGTGATTTGTTACCAGGAGTCTTTGTTTTTCTTATTTTAAATTTACTTTCATTAACATTTTAATTGGTTATGTAATTTTGTTCCACATTTGATTGCTAGTTTTATCCAATCTAGCCGAAATTTTTACCGTTAAATGAGAAATGAGCTATGTTTTAAAATATAACTTCTTTGTTATTTCCGATATTTAATTCAGATTCTTCCTGATAAATAGAATCTTCATTAATATCGATCGGACTTGTACCAATATCTCTGCAATCCTCCTCATCATAAGATTACTTTAACAGTGAATTTTTAATTTCTTGGGATTACTATTTCATCATAAGCTGTTAAATTGATGTCTACTGGGAGTTATTTTTAGAATCTCTTTGGTATACAATCATTTTTCTAGATTACTAGGTAATTTACTTTTAGATACTTGTATTTTTGGTGTCCATTTTCAGTAATAAATTATTGAGTCCATTTTACTATCTATGATCTTTCTGCTATGAGAAAATATGCTGTCTTTGTTCTAAGTAAACACTATCCCATTCAGGAGGAGTTTGCTATAATGATGTCAATTTAGATAAATCGTATTATTTTGCATGATTGTGGTCAGGACTCAATATATATTCCATTTCAAGTTCCTGGATAGGTTAGTCATTTAGGAAGGTTTCATCTTTATAGATTGCTTCTCCAACCATTATTTCATTGATTAGAGTAGCATTATCATTTTGACCCATTCTTGTTGACGCCATCGACCTTTAGTTGCTTTTCTTTATAATTTCTGGAGACTCGTTTGATTATCTTCAAGACGATATCAAATCATAAAGCTTGTAATTACCTTTTAAGGCTGCAACTTCATCCCTTGAATCTTTTTCTGATTTTAATAATTAAGATGAAAACATATCAATGCCACGAGGCCTTAATAAATCATGATACTGCTGAAGATTTCTTGCCGAAAGTTGAGTATCGGAAGACTACTTCTCCTCATGGCTACGTTGATGATCATTAGCATCCGCATTATTTGAGTTGTAATTGAATCTTGGCTTTACTCTTTCGCTAGAGGAATCAATTTTCTTTAAGGTTAAGGTTTTCAGTATTTATCAATCTTCAAACTGAAATCTATGACTTTGAGTCTCCCTTTGCTCTTTGTCTGTTTCAGTTTTAATTTTTAAATTTTTATCTTGAAGCATCTATTCTCTATTACTTTAACCTCCATTACTTCTCAAATCTTTTCTAAGTTTTGAGTAAGATTTACCTTCATTGACTCTGTTACTTTCAATAGATCTTTCATTTTAGGTAGAGGGAGGCTTGCTCTATTATCTGTGATAACTTCTATTTGGATTTTATTTACTATGAATCTTGATTTATCCAGAATTATTGAGTTAGTTATTAATATTAATGAAGTTTTGGTGAAATTCAGCTTTGTTTAGTTTATCATTTTAGGAACTTATTCCTTGCGTCATGTAGTAATAAAAAGATTGCTTGCTCTTACTATTCATAGAATCTTAAAGAATGGAATTTCCAACCACAAAACTCCTGCTCATTCCAGCTTACCCAATCAAGTCATGTGTTTTCTCAAGATTTTTTTAATCATCTGTGTTCATAGTCTTATTCAAGTTATCACTGATGAGCTGTCTTCTTTAGTTTTCTCTCGTCTCGCTCTTATATTACTCAATTATCCTTCTCATTTGCATCTTCTTGATAGATTACCTCTGTTGAAAGTTATTAAAAAGATTATTTTTATCATTCACAGTTTTAGCTGTCAACTGTCTCTGCTAAATCTGTGTTGGAGATTAATTTAAAGCCTTAAGAAAATCTCTTCTAACTTTCTTGGGTGTCTTAAAGTTGGGTAAAAAGCAGTTGTTATGATTGAATAAAGTACTAAAAATAAATAATGAGTTATCATATTAATAACTTACCTGATTATTTGATATTACACCGGCTAGTTTTAATTGTCAGGGGTTTAAGATTTCTTTGACTAGTCTATTTGCAATTATTTACTTATTGAAGAGTTCTAGAAATTTGCCAAGTTGTTATTGATTGGTAATCCAACTAATGCTCTTAATTCCATTATATGTTTATATATTTACAATTTTCAATCAATCTAAGATTTTTTAATTAAAACTCATCCCGGGGTTTTGGGGTTTTGGGGTTTTGGGG